CTAGTCCTGTGCTTATTACATATAAATGAGTATTTATCCATATCACATGTGGATAGTTTTACAAAATACATGTAACGTTTAGATTTATTTTATCATCCCTACTTACACGGTGTAATTTAAACCTCCTCTCTCTCATTCTCTCTCTATACATATGGACCTGTATATAGTATATGCCTCTTCGTAGTTAAAACTTTCACTTCTTGTTAAATAAAAGTCTTTTAACTTGTTAAATAAAAGTCTTTTGACTGGACGAAGTGGTTTTGGGATGGAATGAATTTAAACCCTAAACCCTAAACATTTAATAATCTAATTCATTAAAATTAAAAAAATTTAATTATTAATAACGATAAATATATATATATATATATATATATATATATTAAATTACTCTTATAATACTCATATATCTTATACTAACCAAATAGAGTGTGAGCTCTTTACAAAATTTATAATTAATATATTTTATTAAATTAAGAGAATACACTTTAATTATGAATATTTTATTTTACTTTAATTATGAATATTTTATATTTCATAAAAAATATTACATAATTTTATACTATTTTATAGTTATTACATTTTTCTCATTTATACTCTTTTTATATTTTTCACTTCACAACAAATAGTTAAAATGTAATAAAAAAATAGCTTTTATTAATTTTATAAAATGATAACTAAAATAAATAATTTTTTTTTTACTAAAACAAAATAAGATGGGAGAGTAGCTTGTAACCCTGACTACACGTGTTCAATTTATTTTGGGTGTGCCATGTAAACAAACTTCTCTACTAATCTTTGATAGGAAAATGCTAGAAACATTTTTAGTACGCTACTTCAAGAATCAAAGTGAAAAGTCTTTTACTGAGAAACGTAACACTACAATTTTCAATGCAAGTTTTTGATATTTCGTCCCACCATTTATTCCTTAATTACTCGATAGGAAGAACCTTTTACATAGGATCTAATGAACCTTGTCACTTAATTACTCATTTTATGGTTTTGCTCAATGGAAACACTTGGAGGAGGGTTAGACCCAAGTTTGACTGCCATTTTAAAAGGATCAATGGAGTAACATTTTCCTTGAAACGTGAAATTGCTTTGTTTTAAGTGAACTACGTCAATCCCCCTAAAGTATTTGTCTTTCCCAAGTTCCTCAATACTATTTTAAGTGAACTACCTCAATCCCCTATCAATTAAATCATCTATTATTATAATGATATATCATTAACACACATAAGCATAACAATTAACTTACCTTATCGTGAATGTTTGAGAAAGAGTCTACAATCTTCTCGACTTTACTTATAACTCAAAGACACATTTACTTGAATAAGTCTTCCATCAAAATACTGTATTTTCATCAATTTCCACACCTAGCTTATGTATTACACTCATGGGACCAAATCTCTGTCTGTCACTAGTATCGCTTTGTAAGGACCAAGAATATTGTCTACTCGACGTTGTAAATTCATCTGCACCCCACTGGTTTTGTCCCCTTGTCTCTCAACAATTACTCAAATTTCCTTTATTTCACTCTTCTTATTTTCTCATTTATAGCTCTAACCTTATTTTCATCATTTTAAGACTTCTTATATCGATTTTAGGATCTTCACACAAAAGTTTTCATGCTGCAAGGAAAGATAAAAAAAAAGTAGTACGTTTTTTGGTGGATTTAAAAAACAAACTACTTAAACAAGACCTTTCCCCCTTTTTCACAATGCAATTATCAAGTTATTTCGATAAACCCATACTTGTTTTATTTGTTGACTAAAAAACGGGGAACTTGACTTAACTTTACGGACTAACATATCAATCCATTTTATTTATCTTTTTAATTACAATAATTCAACCATCTGTATTTCCTTTATCATTAACTAGGAAAAAAGAGGTTTAGAATGTGATGTGAACTTTATAGGATTAAAAATCCACCATGTCAAAACATGATTTTTTTTTGGATAATTTAAAAAAAATAATATATGGATTGAGGTAAGAAATGAAAAATCAACACTACAATCCCTAAAGAGTGATAAGTTATTGAAAATTCGTTATTTTAAATTAAGAAATTCAAATATAAGAATCAAAAGTAGCTCCTAAGAATTTATAGAGAGAAAAATCATCTCAATTGGAATAATATCTAAATTTTTATTAATTCATTCTCTGCCTTGAAATCATACAAGAAATTCTTATTTATAAACTTAGATAGACAATATGTCATAAATTCCTACTAAGATTCTATTAAGAAATAAATTCTCACTAAAACTTATTTTTCTCTAGAGTTGACTCCTCATTATTCTACTAACTATCATTATGATTTAGGAAGTTCAAAAAAATTAAAATTGACCTAAAAATATGAGTTATTTAAATAAAAAGAAATACAAAAATTACATTAATAGTAATTTGACTCAAACAACTATTTAGCCCAAAAACTAATTAAATTTCAACCCATCAATGTTTCTTCTTGATCATGTGTATTTAGATTTGTCATGCTATCTTCAAATTAGGCTCAAGTCTTCGTCAATATTTTAAAAAAATAATAGTAGATAATATGTCCGTGGATTTTATCATTTAATAATCAATCTATCTTTCTTATTTCTCAAATTCTTTCAAGTACAATCTTTGGTAGATTCCATCAAAATGATTATTTAAAGATAAAAATAAAAATAAAAGATAATTGAATAAAAAGAGAGGTTTAGAAATTGAATATCGTTAAAGTAGAAAATAGAGAGAATAAATAAATAAAAGATAATAAAAAAGAAAGTAATTTAAATTTTAAATATAATTATAAAAATAAATTGCTCCAAAATTTGTATATACCAAAAGGATATATTCCCTATCCCTTTATTAAAATAGTATAGATGACAAACTTCCTAATAAACTATAAATTTGTACAATATTTTACACTATTATCTAATTACAAATTATTATAATAATTTATTTATTTTTATAATAATCATTAAATGTCACGCATGAAATAATTATAATTGTAAAAAAATAGTACAATATTCATATCTTTAAAGAGTAAAAGTGGGTGTAAAAAAAATAAAAGTAGAATTTATTTTATATTTTAACATATAAAGGAGGATATAATCCTTATTTATAAAGGGATATATGTAATTTATTTTAACGGATTAAATTAAATGAATTATTTTAATACAAGAGAGAAAGATAGTATAATATTTTTATGGCTCAAGAAATAAAAATATAATTTACTCTTAAAATTAAACTAAAATTTTTAATGATATTTTAAGAAATTTGATTATTTTTGTGAAATAAATCAATTCAAACAAACATCTATATGGAAGTAAAACATAGACCAAACAAGAAAAAAGAATTTGTAATTTTTTTTATAAAAACATTTGTATAAAGTATCTATCATATACAGTGATTAGTTTTTAAAAAAATTATAAAAGCACACAAAAAGATATTTTTCTCCTATAAGTTTATACTTATATCACACTTATAATATGATAAAAAATACATTACTCAACCTATAATAATGCTCCCCGACTTCCGGCCGTTGGCGTGATAGCGAAATGACGGGCATCACACTATGGTTGCATTGGTACTAAATTATTATTATTATTATTTTTTAAAAAAAAAAGACACATGAAATTATGAAAATACTCTTTCCGTTTTTTACTTATAGTTATTTTGATATTATTTTTTAAAAAAATTAATAATTTATTAATTTTTTTTATTTTTATCTTTAATAATTAATGTGTATTTATTGAACAATATGTTTATTCATTTTTTAATGTATTTATTTCTTTTTTAACCACCTAAAGAGTATAACAGAAAAATAAGTAATAAATATTTTGAAAAATTAAAATGTTAATTATTTTCTTAATTTTTGTGCATAACCTTAAACGTAAAAAAAAATGGAGGGAGTATTTATGTTTTGTGTCCTTATTTTTGTATTTTTTTAATCTAAATATCGATTCATTTATGATCAGATTCTAACTTTTTGCGATAAAAATATTTCAATTAAAGAATACTTTTTCCTGTAACAATTAATATTTCTTAAAACAATATTATCTTCCTTCGCAAAACAATATTATCCTAAATGATTTTTTTTGAAAAGGAATAAATGATAAAATACCATTAATTAAAAAATAACCAATACCTATACTTTTTTCGTTTAATTACTGTTACCTCAAAATACTATAGTTCTGTGACATAACCTCACACTAACAACCTAATTAGAAACAAATACCTAAATGTGTGTTTTGGCCAGTGGTTTGCAAAAGTGATTTTAAGTGAAGTTAATTTTAATAAAAATAATTTTTAAGTATAGTAATTTATGTTTGCATGTTTTTAATCTTATGTTTTCGCAAAAATAATTAATTATTGATTGCCTGTTTGCATACTTAGAAGTTCGTGTTGGTAAAAAGAACATTCCCCACATTAATTTATTATATTTATCAATAGAGTAAGCTTACTGTACAAGTTTTTGTTTTTTAAGAACTCCCACCTCATTCTCAAACTTGCTTGAGAAAAGAGAACTTCATTTCTTTAGCTCCTCATTTTATATTCAAACTTAAAACTGAGATAACTCTGTGCATAAAAAAATTACAAATTTATTAAAGTGGTTAAAAGAATAAATATTAACTGTGACAATGCCAAACGAAGCTTAAAAGTAACACAATTTTGTAATCTTGATAACGAAGTACATAAATATAAGTTTTGTTTTAGGGCATCCACAATGGTCAAAATTCCTCTACTGTATATAGTATGCTTTCACGATCGTTTAATTGTTAACAGGGCCGAGAAAAGAAAACGTATTCTTTTCAACGTAATTAAGATGTATAATTAATATAGCTTCAATTATTAGTTTTATTTTAAGAAAATGTCACATTTATCTAACTATGAACGAAAAAGATGCTCTAAACTCTAATCCTCCACCTTTAAATTTTGGAAACATGCGGTATTAATCATGAACATGTCGTTTGGTTGGCTGTGAAAAAATGGAACGGCAGGTCCATGGTAACGCATACATCACCTTCACCTTTAAAAAATAATTGCATTAAAGCTAAGGTATTTTATCCGAACAAAGTCAACTACATTCTTCTCATATGATATGGTACATAAGCAACAGCCTCCAAACACAAGGGGTTTGGAAACACAATCTAACAGATGACACATTAAAGCAAAAAAAATTGAAGGTGGATCCAGTATCCGATTACTTTAAATGGATCAAGGTGGCATAATAATCATGACTCTTGTACTCAAGAAACTGGAGCATATTCTTGGATGGTTGAAGCAAGTTTATTTCGATCATCTTCTGTTTTCATCCGGATCAAGAATGTACGTGCAACAACACTATCGTTATCTCCACTTCCGTCAGCATTACCCTACAAAATTATCAAGTTTCATATATGTTGGCTATTCAATAAAAGGTGGGGTAAGTGCTTAAACAAATAAGCGAGACCGAAGAATCAAAAATCAAGGGAAGCTACTCGAAAAACAACCATCTCAGGAAAGCTAGCTATAGGCGCACAAACCTTTCGAACAAATAAAATATACACTCGGAGAAGCTAATATTAGCTCATTAAAAAGGCTGCTTTCAGTATATATATATATATATATATATATTTGCTAACTTACACCCACTTATTTTTTTTGGAAGGAGTGAATTAACAAGCTAAACTGGATATATTTTAAAAAATACCGTAATTATAACTTATTAATATATTCCTTTTGAGAAAGAAGTGGGTGCATGTTAGTGAATCCCATAAGCATTTGTTAACTTACACTCACTTGTTTTTAGAAGGAATAAGTTAGTACTTAGTAAGTTACATTTGGGTGTATTTTAAAAATAATTGTAGTTATGGCTTACTAACTCCTAAAAAGACAAGTGGGTGTAAATTAACAAACTCCATATGTGTGTGTATGTATTATTTTATTGAAGCTGAACATTTTAACTCTCTTGATTTTTCCTTCCCAGAAAATTGATAATAGAAGTTGTAGAAGCACCAAGAGCAAAAATAGAAACAACATTGAAATATACAGCAACTGGCGGAAGTAAAACCATTTAACTGATCATCCCTTTCAATTATTTTAGAACACTAGAACTACATGTAATATATGCTAGTCTAAACTTTCCATTATATTCTCAAAACATTCAAGCCTTGTTATCCTATTCAGTGGCCTTTTTTAAAAAAGCGATATTAAACTTCTTTGAGGAATGCTAAAAACACACTCCAACAGTCCTACAAATTCTTTATCATTGGTTAAAATTTACAGGAAACAATAAAATCATGAGTGAGATTCATTAGATAAACCACTGAGACCCACAAGATTTTGCAATTTCTAATAAATTTCAATCAATAGTAGAGTGTTGCTAGCATTTCTTAACTTCTTTTCAGTATGTGCATGCAAGCTATCCCAAGGAACTTAGCTAAATGTGCAATATTCCAGTGCCTTACCGAAGTATGGAATATTGCAACAAGAGAGTTCTTCTGCAGATTTGTCTTGATTCCCGGATACAACAAGGCATTGAGAAGAATTTTTCCTACCTGCGGTGAAGGTAACAGAAACAGAAACTCAAACACTAAGCAGCTTAGTTCTCAATTAGATAACTATAAGTCAACAACTATAGAATAGATTACGTTTAGATAAATTCCCTAAAAATACTAGCATATAGGCATCAAGAATAAAAGTAAAATGAAAAAACCTCGTTTCGAACAACAATTGTAGGTTTGGACTCTTTGGTAGCCTTGCTAACACCCTCTTTGCATTTAATAGACAGTTTGCCCATTCCTTTATCTTTCCATACATCTTTATCTGCTGGATCACTTGACTGAACATACCAAGGGTAACAGAAAATAAATCATTGGGATGAACATAACAAAATCAAGCTATAGAGACGTACACCGGTATAAAATTAACACTATATATAAAAAAATACCTTCACATAAAGTTTGCACTTTACTTCATGTACAACAACTACACCTTTCTCTTCTGACTTCTTAACTGATGGGCTGCTAGGTTGCTCTAATTCATTTTCTGAGACCAAATAAAGAATATTTTATTATTCCTCAACCCTAACTTCTCTCTAAGAGAAAATATTTTAGAAATGCATGAATATTAAATGTAACTATGCTGGTGCAATATGGACAAAAAATTGGCTATTTTGGACAACTTTGTTTAGGCTTATAAAACCTGATGACTGATGTAGTGATATAATTTTTGCATAACTTATTTTATTTTAGTTTATGAGAAAAGCATCAAAACATCTACTTTATAAGTTTTTACCTTTTATTCTTTTGAAAAACTTAAACAATTGTTATAATTTTTTAAACATATCTTTTAATTAAAAAAACATTTTTCTTTAAAAAAAAACATGTCCTTTATAAACGTGGCAAGCAAGGTTATTTATTGTTTCCATGGTGCCGAGCCACAGTACAAGGTCATAAGTAATAAAGATATCTGAGACTCAACAACCAACTTGGCATGAGCAATCAAGAACATTATTTCAGCATAGGGTATCTTTCAGCAAAAGCATTCCATATTGAGGAAAATAAGGTAAATATATATCTATACAATGACATGTATCTATAGCCAGTCATATAGTCATCAACACCATCAACTACCAAGAAAAGTAAACAACCTTCATTTATAATTATATAAGCAACAACATCTTTGACAATAAAAGATGGCATCAGAAAAGGTCACAATCAGCAAAATCAAAATACAAGGCATAATTGCTAAAAGAACTAAAGGCAAAAATGAAGGGTCTAAAATTGAATTCTCACCACCATCTACATCATCTGAAGCATTGTTGTTAGAGGGAGCTGAACTTTGATTTCCTGAAAAATGGATAGATGGAAAGTTAGCAACCAATCACAGAAGCGATACAATTTTCTGCCTAAGTTCAAGGTATAGCATTTAACTGGATTAAATAAAGTAAGATTATTAAGTATGTAACATTAACTTCACTAAGTGCTAACATTCATTTTTATTTGTCAAAGGATTTCTATTTTACAAATTCTTAAGCAAATGCAATATGAAGTCACAGCAATGATGTGAGCACTTATAGAGGCCAATTTGACACAAGGTCTAGGGAAACTCCACTATCTAAAACATGGACATCGATCATTCTAAAGTTCACTGTATTTATAACGGACATAAAGTGAGAGTGAGATGATCAAGTGACAGCCATTAGATCAAAATAAATGGTCTGGATACAACTTTCAATTAAAATTGCATGTGACCCCCTCTTTCTCTCTCCCATGTGCACTAATCTTGATCCTCTTCTCTCCCTTCTCTTGTTTTCACAACACTGATCCAATATCCCCACCCTCTCCTTCAAACAACATTATTCCACTTTTTCTACCCTTCCTTCGATCATAAATTTATGGTCACAGTTTTGCTGTGATGCACAACACCAAGCAACTGAACCCATACTGCATTGAGAAATTCTAATCCTAACTATGGCTTGACAAATGGTTTGTCTCTTTCATTATCTCTGCCTCCTTCATAATTGGTGTGATTTCAAAGTTCTGATTATCAATTCTACAAATCCCAAGAAACTAATATTAACATTAAAATAAAAAACGTGCTTTTTCCCCACATTCTAGTATTGAATAATAAAAAATGCAACAACAAATGAGTATCAAAAGTCCAAATTCAGAAATCTAGAGTGGGAAAGTGAGAACTACTACTGTCCAGGAACCAGCCATCAACCCAGAAAACATGAACACTTTCTAATAATAATAAAAAGTTACGGCATATTAAAAATGTGGAGAAAAGGATGCAGAATTGGGATTAAGCAAGCCAATAAGCCTATGATGGAAACAGGGGCAGGGAAACTGGAATAGTGTTAGCACATGCAAGAGATGTGTGTGGGCAAGAAGACAAGGGTAACGTGCATTATTAATTGAAAGTTGATGGAATGAGGGGTAGGGAAACTGGAACAGTGTTAGTGCATGCAAGAGATGTGTGTGGGCAAGAAGATAAGGGTAACGTGCATTATTAATTGAAAGTTGTGGCATACATATTATTTTTATCCCATGATTAGCATTTAATCTTCTCACCTCTCACAATAAGACAATCCTCTCAACATATATGCACCCCATATGTAGGGTAAAATATGTTTGTGGTTCCTCAAGATATCTCAAAATTCGATTTTAGTCCCAATAAAATGATGTTTTACCCTACATACCAGTGCTATCAATTACAGATTGCGGAAAATGGTGGAGAGCCAATAGTCTGCTATATCATATAGCGGATAGCATATCAGGCAAATAATGGAAGTTGCATAGCAGTTAAAATATATGGTATATAACATTATATATGTATGAAAACATAAGTTGTATGCAAAAAAATTGTCAAAAGTTCAATTAGTGTGAGACTGGCAGAGATGACTGGCGGATGTAGGATACATGCTGCAAACATGTCACCACAGTGTCACTATAGCAAATGGAGTCATGATTGTGGATTAAGGGAATTCTGCAATGCAATAAAGTTATAGCTTCTATAGCGGCTATTTAACAACACTGCTACATACATGTTTATGGAACATACTTTTTGAGAAAGTTCTCATTTTAAGAATGTGAAAACTATAAATCTGGATGATTAAGGTTAAAAGTTAGTTAATAGTCACGTAACCACTAAAAAAATCATGTGTATTTATGTTTTAATCTTGACAATTCAAATATGATCTAGTGGTCATATTTATTATTTTTATTTACCTATAAGGGCAGACTCGGTAGAAAAGAGTTATACCTCCTTATTAAACCAAAAAATAAATAAAATAAAGGCTTAGATTCCCATTGAGTGGCATGCATTCAAGCACCAAATATAACCAGTCTAATTCACCACCAATGGGACCTCATTCTAGAGTTACTTTGAATTATGAGAATAAAACTTATTGGGTATGTTTTCTAAACGTGAGAAGAAGCCTACCAAATGCAAAAATGTTTTGGCTGTTTGAAAATAACCCAGGGCTCCAAGAACTAGCAAAATTTGTGGCAGTACTAGCAGGAGTAGACCCAGCTTTTTCTTCAAAAGGCTTATTTTCTTTGTTTATTGCTTCAGGCAAGAGTTTTTTCCCAGAAAAAGTAGCACCAGCATCAGCAGATGAATTTTCTGTCTGGGTGGCATTTGCTTTGAGCCAATTGACAACATCACTAAACTTTTCCTGAAATAATACAACTTTGCAATGTCAATTTTTTTTCCAACGCTTTATATGCATGATTTGCACCATAATCTTTAAAAAAAAAAAAAAAAACCCTCACGTGGCTCATTTTTAAGAATCTAGGACAGCTCTAATATCTACTTAGAATAGTGGATTAAGTCTAACTCAAGCCTACAAAATCGGCTTGTAAGGTGAGAATTGTTTTCCATTTATATATTATTCAATTGCTTAATTTCTAATCGATGTGGAACTTGGGTTTTTCTCAATAAATTTAAGAAAAAATATAGTAAAAAATTAGAAATAGAGTAAAGAGAAATAAAATATATAATTTAGTTATTAATGATCCCATGACATAATCACAATGATATAATATTTACGTCATTCATTTGATATTTTTTTTAATCAATTAAACAAATAATTGTGACGGATTAAAATTGTTGGTATCACTAGTCTGTTTATTCATGAGATTTTAATTAAATTTTTTTTATCAATAATAGATAATTTTTTTAGCAAAATAAATATTTTTTTTATATATTTTATATCATTTTAAAAGATGAGACACTTGTATAATCCTAATATCAAATTGTGGTGACTAATAACTAAAAGTTTTCACATAATGATACATGTTTGATCCAGTGTATGGCTATACTTTGCACAAAAGGAAAGCTATAATTTGCCATTGGTAATAAAGGGCTACTCTACTAAACGACATTCGAATCACTCTAGTCGTTGTTCCATTTTACATTGATGGCTAACTAACTAATGGCTACTGCTATGGCGTGTCGAAAATTGCAAATTGAAGAGTCGAGAACTGGCGTGCTGATTGCTGAATATTATAATCATCAAAAGAGAGAAACAAACGTAACATCAGTACAGAAATACGTTACACAACAAAATTGAAGGACTTGCTTAATGAATAAAGTTTCTGTCTGGTGTGTACAATAGAAGAATCAACTGTGCATGACACCTTAAAGTATGCACATTTTATCTCCCAAATCGATGAATCCCCTAACTAGAACAAAAATGACTAAACAATATGTCCATAACCATAACTCGAGTCCCCCTTGGGGTTATATATCTTAATCAGCATAGCAAGAACCTCCTTCATGTTGGGCCTAGCCTGAGGTGAATCAGCTGTGCACCTCACCCCAACCCTCAGCAACTCCCCCATCTCCTCAGCCCCACCAACAAGCCCAGAGCCCATTAGCAAAACCGGTACAGAACGGCCCAACCCGTGATGTCGTCCATAGCCCATAACACGCCTGGCCCATTCCACCAAACACTCTTCCCCTCCATCCACTGCTCTTCTCCCTGTTGCCAGCTCCATGACCAACACCCCAAAACTGTACACGTCACCCTTGGTAGTAGCCTGCCACGTGTGTCCATATTCAGGTGCAACATAGCCCACAGTACCAGCCACCATAGTACTCACGTGGCTATCCCCAGCGTCAACCACTCTTGCAAGCCCAAAATCAGTAACCTTGGCCTTCCCATCCTTGTCTAGCAACACATTACTAGCCTTGACATCTCTGTGCACAACCGCAGGGTAACACTCATGGTGCAAATACACCAACGCACGTGCCACATCAGTTGCCACTTCTAGCCTCCTCCTCCATGTCAAACGTGTCCTATCTGTCACTACATCCTCCAAGCTTCCACCCTCTATGTACTCATATATCAGTATCTTCTCTGAACCGTTTAGGCACCAACCGTAGAGTGTCACAAGGTTTGGATGAGGCCATCCAAATCCATGACCACTCAGAACCTCCATTTCAGCCTTGAACTCCTTCTCACCCTCTAAGCCTTCCCTTTGGAGCTTCTTCACTGCCACGTGTCTCCCATCTGAAAACACTCCCTTGTACACTGTTCCAAATCCTCCTTTTCCTATTATTCTCTCCTCTGAGAAGCTGCTTGTTGCTTTCAGAATGTCATCGTGTGTGAAAGCTGTCTTGTTCAAACGGATAACCTTAACTGTGTCAGACATCCACGGTGAGGATCCAGAGCTGCTCGAGTCATGCCACTGTTTTATATTCATATCCCTCAAGAGGTATCTTGGCTCCTCTGATGATGGACCTTTCACGGATACACAGACTATGATTGTAAGAACACCAAATATCGTGAAAACCAGTGTTATGACCAGAAAGACCAAAAACATGGACACTTTTGTGGAGGTTTTATGGTCTTTCTGAGAGGGGGTGTTTTTGTTATTGGTAGTGTTATCGATAAACTCGGGCAGGATCAAGAGGGGGTTGCCTAAATATGATTCTTTCTCAAAGGTGGCAAACTGTCCTGTTGATGGTACCACACCGGATATTAAGGGGTTGTACGAGATGTTGAACTTGTTAAGCTCTGTCAATTTGTTCAAATTTGTGGGAAAGGTTCCAGAGAAGTTGTTGTATGACAAGTCAAGATTCATCAAGCATTTCATGTTGCCAACTTCTTCGGGGATTTCGCCTGAAAACTTGTTGCTTGTGATGTTCAGCACCACAATGGGGACACCTGCCATCTCTGGAGGGAGCTTCCCAGAGAAATTGTTGAACCCCAAGTGCAACATGCTGAAGTTCACCATTGTCCCAATCTCTGAAGGGATTTCACCGCTGAGCTGGTTCGAGGTTAGCTGAACATACCCGGATATTTGTTGTATGCGCAAGGAAGAGCCAGGTGTGCAGTACGGGAAAATACCATATCCTTTGAGTAGTTTATCCCAAAGGTCTCTACAAGTTTTCCTTGTTAAGAGGCTATACACAAAGCTGAATGGTGGGTAATCTGCTGGTATCCATCTCTTCATTCCTAAACATTCACCGGAGCCAGCAACCATTCGATAGTTTCTCCTATTTGATTCAAATGTGGTCATGGCATTCCTTCCAATTTTGGACAGTTCAGAAGGCAAATTTCCAGAGAGCTTGTTGTTGGCAAGGTTTAACCATAACAAGCTTGAACAGTTTCCCAACTCTGGAGGGATTTCTCCACTTAAAGAATTGTTTGCAAGCATCAACCACAAGAGGGAACTCAAGTTTCCAAGGCTTGATGGTATAGGCCCAGTCAAATTGTTGAAGGCAATGTCAAGTGCTTGCAGTTGAGTCATGTTTCCAAATTGGGGTGGAATGGATCCATTGAATTGGTTGTAGGATAACATTAGAAACTTCAGACTTGACATTTGAGAGATATCAACAGGTAATGGACCTGAAAAGTTGTTGTAGCTTAGGTCTAACCTCCAAATGTTTGGCAATTTGAGAATTCCAGAGGATATCAATCCTCCAGTGTAATTATTTGAGTGCAACAAAAGAAAACTCACTTGCTTAAATTTCCCAAATATCTCTTGTATGTCCCCACCAAAACTGTTTCTGCTCAAATCCAAGAAAACCAAATTGGTCAAATTCAAAAGGGCATCAGGAATTTCTCTTGAAAAGCTGTTGTTTCCTAGGTACAATGCTTTGAGGCCCGAAATGGATCCTATTTCAACGGGAATACCCCCAGTAAACTTGTTACTCGAAAGATTCAGAGTGGTTAAATTCTTGCAGTTAGCAACCCCCTTAGGTGCCTCACCAACAAATCCATTTTGTGAAAGATCAAGTCCTTCAAGGCTACAATTACCGGGAATTGCTTCCGAAGGAATGATCCCATTTAGATGATTCTCCGCAACAGAAAAATCTTTGAGCCTCGCAAAATTCATCCACATGTTTCCACTCAGATTGTTGGTGCTCAAATCCAAGTACTGCAACTTGACGCATTGATCAAAGCAGTTCTCAATCCTACCAGTCAAGTTATTACCCGAGACATTCAGAGTAACTAAACTGTCACAAATGGCAGGGAAATTCACCCCAATCTCCCCATAAAATCTGTTACTTGACAAGTCCAGCGTGTGCAAGCTTTTCAATCCAGTCAAGTTAAGCTCCCCATCAAGAATATTATGAGATAGGTTGAGATGCAAGAGCTTGCGGCAGTGCCTCAAGTCCTCCGGAATCTCACCAAAGAGCGTGTTCTGAGAAAGATCAAGGTGTGTGAGCTCAGTGAGCTGCGAGAAGTTCTTGAATATCTCACCAGTAATGTCACTATGAGAAAGGTCTACGCCAACCACCCTCCTCGTACCACTGCATGAGATTCCTTTCCATTCACAAGGATTGGAGCTATTGGTGTTCCAATATATGTACCCTCCTCTGTCTGCAAGAGTTTTGTTGTCTAGGTACAATTTCAGCTTCAGCAAAACCTCTTTGTCCGTGTCCAAAGACCCCCCAACAACAACTTTACCTGAAAAAACCAAACACAAAACATGAATTGCCTCGGTAAACTCAAAAACACATGTTTGTGCTATTGTACAACAAAATCAGTTAAATCACCCACCTTTGAAAGTTGAAACACTAAATAAAATAATAGTGTGCCAATTCTCAAGAGTACAACAGAGCAAATAAGAGGTTCAGTTAGAAAAGAATAAGTACCTGAAAGAAGGATGAAGAAAAAGAATAAGAGTAAGGCAGAGGAATGTGCTTCCTGCTCTGACATTTATGTTGCTGTTAGTTCTTCTCCTGTTATGTTTTGTTTATTGAGCAAAACTCATGTGCTGGTGATTCCAGAATTAAAAAAAAAGGGACTCAAGAACGTGAGGAATTTGAAGTTGAAGCCATTGGGAAGCGTGTTGCAGGAACACGGGGACAAAATGGAACCGAAAACAGGAAGCTTCCCATGAATCTTATGTTTACTGGTTGAAGATACGTGTGTTGTGGTCTCAGGAATTATTTTAATTTAATGAATGGTTGCTGTGGTTATTATGTATTTAAAAAGTAAAAAACAAAAGAAGGGTGTGTGTGCTTGATGGTGTTTGTTAATGAATGTGAAATCTACTTTGGAGGCATTTATTTAATGAAGAATTCAGATTTGAGAATGGCTGCATAAGAAAAAGATAAAGAAGCTCACGTTAGAGCAAGGAGACCGGTCGAGCCGCCCTTGCTGACCGGTTCGGGTTTCAGTTTGACCTCAACGAAACAGTGCAACACGGACACGGTTTACGCAATTCTTTGTAATTACTAATGTTGGTAGATTCATTAGGTTGTGTTTGTACGTGAATGTGTGATCATAGGGGTAAGAGATATAAAAAAATAATGAGTATTTTATTAATATAGTATTGTGGTTTAAGCAAGGAAGAATGAGAGCGCCGTTTTATTGGTTGAAGAGTAATAGTAGATGATGGCCTTTTGTGAATTTCGTGGAAAGTTTGGCAACGATTTACGAGACAGCATTTGTTATCAAGGTTAGAGAGTTACGAAGAACGCACGTGGATTTAGACCACACCGATTGAATGAAATTGAGTCTTGAAAGAGGTTAAAAATGGTGCATGGTAAATGTGGTTTTGATATCTATAATAGTTAATAAGTGTCGTGTTGTGTTGGTGAAGACAAGTAAAGCGAAAGGAACCTCATGCCATACCACTGCATGACGCTTCTAATGTTTTTTTATGTAAACATTATTAGAAGTCTTTGATGATATGAAACCTCTTGATTAGCATGTATATGTCTAAGTCTAACTAGCACTATTAATGAGATATTGAAATAAGCAATGCAATGGACATGTTTGAGTAACTCGATGGCTGCATTCGTACATGATAGAGTGGTAGTAGACTTGTCATTCCAATTACATGCAATCTCAGCAAGGGACCAAGGGTTGCCGATTGAGTCACGTCGCACGCAAAAATTGTCTCACAATGATGTGGTTATCTGGTGTAATAGTGTGGCTCGCACAAATTTGTTGAAATGAGATTGGTTTATTTCAAAACTCAGTTCAATAAAATATAATTTCCTTGAATTAATTGAATTTCTTTTATAAGAAATTCAACCCAAATCAACTTGATTTTAATTGGCTGATTTGAATGGTTAGGTTAGATGATTAAAATGTTATATTATAAAAAGTAAATAGACTAAACAAATACACTACAAAACATTAAATATATAAAAGATAACATTTCATAACTAAAATTATTATAAAAAAAATGAGATCAACATATAATCTCAAGACGTACTTAGAACCTAGTAGGTACTTGTAGCATTTTATTACGATCACAAAATCTCAATTAAAAATTATCTAATTAGTTTAACTCATTTAAGATCAAGACATTCAAATGTGTATAAGCTAGCTAAACAATAAACAAGCAAAACCAAACCAAGGTCAAAATGACATATACACTATTCAAAAAGTTTTGATTAATGACTTACAAATAGACAACTTCAACTCAAGCACAATTAAAATTCTAATGCATACCTAAATGAATATTATATGTACCTTGAATTAGATAGAATTAATTGGGATTAGAACCCATCAACACGATATTCAATCCACTACAATTGAGTTCGTTAAAATAAACTCAAAGTGAACCACTAATCTTACTCAATATATATGCTAATATGTAATTAATTAGATTTAATTTATGAGTTCATATCAATTTTACTCCTAATGTAAGAGTAAGGGCAATATAAAAATACGAACAAAAGGTAACTATTAAAATAAATAAATAGATAAAAAGGTAACTTCATAACTTTAGATATTTAGAAAAATAATTTTTAAGAAAGACACAAAGCTACATCAAATTGGCCAAATTATAAAAATAGAAACGGACTTTAATTTTTCTATCAACGTTGACAACGTTCAAAGCATCTCCAACAAGTTTTTTTTTTTTCGTTGCATTTCCTCCATTGTTCAGGATCTTCAACGACATTTATCAAGTATGTAATTTTCATTTTTTTTTTCATTTTTGTTCCTCATTTGGTCAGGTTTTTCTTGTCTCACCCTCGGTATTTGTTCTCCAAGTTTTGTCCTCACCATCACCAAGTGGAACATCCCTTTTCTCATTTGGTTTCATTTTTCATTTCATATTATTTAACTTTTGTTTTGTTTTCATTCTTCTCTTGTTTAACTTTCATCTTCCTTTCATGTTATTAATTATAAAATTATCTGTCAAAGAATCGTTTACGTATTTAGGATTGTAAAAATAAATAAATATATATATATATATATATATATATATATATGTCGGTTGTTGTAAAAAAAAATGTTAAAATGTCCATCTCTTAACATTGGGTGAAACAATATTTTCTCCCACAACCAATGTAAAATATTGAAAATAAATGATGTAGAAATGTCTCTATATGCACTAGTGAAAAATTCACTTATTTATTTTTAAAGCACAATGGTCAACGATACGTAAGGTCCTATATATTTTATTCCTGTTGCCACCATTAAAAAAAAAAAAAAAAAAAAAAAAA